CTTTAAGTAAGTAAGCAAATTTTTGAGAATTACCGATTTTAGCTCTTTACACTCGGTGTTCTATGCGACAGTATTCCCGAAAACTAGGGCTTGTGGAAAGCTGAAAATTTACTTTTATACTTTCAAGAGATTGTTTTGTACAGTTACATGAGTGGAAACAGCATAGTTTCGTTTTTTATGAACATGAAAATTTTCGTTTTTTCCATTTTCTAGATGAAAAAAAAATATAGGAATGGTACATATGAGTGTCTGATGTAGTGTGCAATTTCTGTGGACAAATTGGAGTTTTGTAGAATTTTTTTTTGAACGGAGATATGATTTTCGCCATTTTTTGAGCGACTCAGCTACAAACTTACGGTGGTTAGAAGTTGGTGTGAACTTTTGCACATCATCTAGTAGAGCTTGATTTGCTTTATAATGTGCCCTGGATCCCTAGTGAAAATGTGAAGTGCACTACTTATCAGCGTCCTTAAGACTTATGTTACAACCTAATATTTTTCAGATCAGTAGTAAAGGGACGCGACGCAACACGAAAATGCGAAAATAATATATTTTCATGAGTAGTTTAGTGGGAAATCTACACAGCTCTTTAGATGTGGAAAGACAAAAAAACACTAACGATAATTTTCAAATCTATGAGTAGCAAACAATGCAGATACAATTTGAAGTAACAATTACATGACTAATGAAGGAGAAAACATGAAAACACATACCGCATACGCAGAAACTGAACAAGCGTTTCTATGTGACAATGAGCATTTTCTGAAATTTGTATAAGTGCGACACAACACATGACATCGGCGGCAAAAGCGAAAGCCTTGTAGTATAACGCCATTCTATCGAAGGTGGCGCCTTGTGGTGGCAATCGTTATCTTGAGTAACTAACCTTTAATTTAACTGGCTTGAAGGCTGGAAGACGGGGCTTTGTCCTACTCAAGGCCGCTCACGCCCGTGACGCAGTCTGCGTTTCTCCCGCATGCGTGCTCTCTGATCATTATCTGCTCCAATTGGGTCACGGAGCCACGCCATCCAGCCGCCAAGCCAGTTGAATCAAAAGGTAAGAAGTAACCGTTCTAGCCATTATATTGATCAGTCATGTAACTATCTATCGGCGGGGTTAGTCCAATGGTCAATGCCCCACGTTATTCGCTGAAGGTCGCAAGTTCGATTTCAAACTGAGCCTGCTTTCTGCGGCAAAATTCTGCTCACAATTCCAGCGTCAAGCTGCCCTTCCAAAGAAGGGTAGCGACAAGTAGGCTAAAAACACCTGTCGCATCAGTCAGTGCAGGCATGTCTCGCTCGAGACGCTCGCCGGGGTAGTTGTTTGAGTAAAGTTTAGGCGCGTCCCCCGTCGACGCGCATTCGAGTAGTGAGCGAGGATCACCGTCTTAGAAAGGTGACCGGGGACGGCGAAAGCGGTCATTTCACCAGAAGCGACGATCCAAAGCATCGCAGCCTCTCCTTCTAGAGTTACCATCAATGTGGGTACTCCACCTCTCGTTCTCGAGAGTTGGCAGATCTTCTGAAGGGACGGCGAGTCGATGTAGGATGCGTATAGGAAACAGCGGGCAAAGTCGCGAGGCCTCAGAGATGGATACAGCTCTATAAGTCGACGTTGAACATATAAGCGATCGCCTAATGACCGTAAAGATGGATATTAGGGATCCTACGATTCATCATCACACTGCACACCACAAATCAAATGTAAGGGACGAAAAGGACGCGTTCTGGCAGGAACTCCACTCAATCCCAGTGGATGAGACATTCCCGCTGGGAGCGGACTTTAGCGGACACGGAAGAAAGGCGAGAAAGAGCTGGAAAGTGTCACGGAAGTCACGGATATGGAACATTCAATGAAGAAAGTAAGCGCATACAGCTGTGTGTGTTGTGTGTGTGGTGTGTGTGTGAGCGGACCTTAGCGGACACGGAAGAAAGGCGAGAAGGAGCTGGAAGGTATCACGGAAGTCACGGATATGGAACATTCAATGAAGAAAGTAAGCGCATACAGCTGTGTGTGTTGTGTGTGTGGTGTGTGTGTGAGCGGACCTTAGCGGACACGGAAGAAAGGCGAGAAGAAGCTGGAAAGGTTACGGAAGTCACGGATATGGAACATGCAATGAAGAAAGTAAGCGCATACAGCTGTGTGTGTTGTGTGTGGTGTGTGTGTATGGTGTGTGTGTGTTCGATATCTTTTTTATTTGATTTTTAAAGGCACCGCCCACCCATTTCGACCTCCATGTTTTTGCCGTTCCAGGGCCTTCTCATACCCCTGATTCAGAATATCAAGTTAAAAATCGCGAACTCCATGAAAAACCCCATTTTCAGGACCTGCAGCGCGATTCCTTCGGAACGGTGATTGGTTGGGCGCGCGGATGGGCGGGACAAACGTCACGCCCACTCAAAGGGGAGGAGTCAACGTAGCGAATCTGTCATCCAAGCGATTTTCGAAGCAATTTTTTCCGGAAGCAGCTTTTGCCAGCGCGAGTTGGATAAGTATACAGTTTGGGGTTCCACTACTGTTAGGCATCAAAATCTCATCGACCCCATTTTGGGTGGACGGTGCCTTTGGAACAAAGTTTGATTTAGCGAATTTTGACGCAAAGGGGAAGGTAAGTGAGAATTCTGATTACTAAAACATAATGAAGGCTGGGTACTGGACTATACAGATTTGCGACCGGGACAGAGACATGCTGTACGGGAAGAGAAAATGGTGATTTCCGTCATAGTGTATTGACAAGGGAGTCGAATATGCTACCTAGTTGGAAAAATTATACGCTAGGATTCTAGAGCTACTTATTACCTTGCTCGGTCGCGCTTTGCAAAGTGGGATATTTGGAATATTTTCGCAGTTCACTTAAGGCAACGGCATCCATTGTGCTCTAGTGATAAGTATGAACCAGTGGCGGCGAGAGGGAGGTCGCGTGCCTGCCCCTGAGAGAGGTCGCAAATTTTTGAAAATTGTCCATATGTGTTATAAGTACGTGTAAGAGACTTGTTTATGCTTGTAAATCATTAAAATAATTCTGAATTAATTTTAGAAATCCAAATTAGTATTTTATCTTTTGAAGGCCATAGTTATGGGCCTGCAAAAATTTTGGGAAGCACTCAATATATTTCCAATCGAGAAGATTTACCTTGTCATAACACAACTTCAAGAATCTCGTATGTCTTAATTTGAAAATGCTTATGTCCGGGGCGGTATGCATCAATCTCCCGTTTTGAAAGCGGGCGATCATTTTCAATCTTATATATAAAGCTGAATGTCTGTTTGTCTGTCTGTATGTCTGTCTGTATGTTGTCTGTCTGTACGTATGTTCCGAATAGAAAATTCCATTTTTGAACCGATCGGGACCAAGCTTGGCTCACATACACATTGGGGCGGAGTGGGTGTCGTAAGCTACTTTCCGTTATCGATCTATATGGATTTTATCAACTTTTTGCAAAGTTTGATCTGCGGGCTGGGAGTTGGCACAGGGGGGTAATCGAGCATGCTGATCACCCCCGTGGGGGTGATCAGCATGCTCGATTACACCCCCCTGCTAAATTCCAGCCCCCTAGCTCAAATTTTGCAAAAAAACGATAAAATCGACATCGATCGATAACGAAAAGTGGACTGTGGCACCCGCCGGGGCCCGAAGTGTACGTGTGCCAAGTTTGGTCCGGATCGGTTAAGAAATGGAATTTTCTATTCGGAACATACGGCGGAGCCGGGTAAGCCAGCTAGTAGTTTATACATTACGAGTCGGGCGGTCAACCCGGCCGGGCAATCATTTTCTATTGAAAATGATCGCCCGCTTTCAAAACCGGAGATTGATGCATACTGCCCCCGATCAAAAACTCAATTTCTGTTCTTTCGCTTACCTCGGCTTACCGCTGTTGATTCCCAAAATCCGTTTTAACAAGCGTACGACAAAAGCAGGTGTTTTCCAAAGTTTTGATTTGAATTTGGACTACTTCTTGACAATGCTTGCATACAGAGTCGTGTGCATACTCTGACTTGCATTTTGAAATCCGTAGGTGGGTGAATCTTTCTCCTTAGGACGTTCCAACTTCCGAAGATAATTTCTCGCTTCTGGTCCAACTTTATTGCTTCGCACTTGTGTGAAAGTGCCAGATGGCGTCCACTATCACATGTGAAGAGATGCAGCAAAGCTCAGAACCGACCCATCTCTCAGCTACTTTCTTGACTCCTGATACCAAGCCTGGTCTTGAAGTGACTAATGTTTGCTAAAAAAGCTGAAAAAATTGACTTTTGATAAGCTCAGGTTACAGTGTTCGAGTTTGATGGAAGCAAGCAGCAAAATTATGGAAAGACTGCGCGATGCTGAAGTGGGTAGAGACGTTATGAAGCCGAAAGGGGGTCGCTGAGGCATTTGCAACAAACACTGCCCCTCTGCACATTTTAAGCTCGTGCCAGCTGTCCGCGAAGCTAATAGACAACATACATACATATTTCCCCCTCTGTCCTTGAAGCCATGACGAAAACATATGCGAGAGAATACTTCGAAACTAGTGATTCAAGTAGCGCTTGGAAGCTTCTGTGTGTTCTGAACATCCTCTGAGTATTATTTTTCACACGATCTCCAACTTTTCGAAGAAATGTGCATTTGATACTGAATTATTTGAAATCATTTGGACGGCGGGATAATTTTAAAAGCTAGTCAAATTAGTTACCATTAGTGGTGACCAGCAGTAAAAGGAAACTCTATCAAGCTTTTGACATTGGCGGTAATTCTCTGTAATTTTCTGTACAACTCTTGCGTGTATCGTCCAAAGGAGTAGCGTATAATACGAGAACAAAGATAGTTTTGGAATTTTTATGGGGAAATAATGCTATCTCTTGTAAATTACAAAGGACTATGCACTATCACTGGATTTTAACATTGTTGAAATGCTACGTTTATAGCTACTTTATACGAAGTGCTGGCTTTTTCACAAAAACAGACATAGGCGTTCTTCGGAACTTGCAAATCAAAGAATTACTTTTCAGAGTCACTAAAATGTTCTTGAAACTGACCTTCGCACTGTGTCTTTTCCATAAACAGGTAAGTTTAAGAAAGGGAATTATATACCAGCTATGAAGGACGTAATATCGTATATCTGAACGATTGCTAAATGTACGGACTCAGGCCCATGCTGTTCGTGATGTCACGTACACGCTAGTCACTGACAGCTTTGCAGCAAGAATTCTCTATCAAAGATCCATAAATAACGAGGAGCTGTGTCTGAATATCTGTTACGACCATCACATGTGCAAATTCGTACATTATTCTGAGGTATGCATACAGGGCTTATCACTTGCAGTGTCGGGTGCGCCAATCCCGCGCGAGACTCTTTTTTTCTTGCGCGAATATGCTCCGCGGTGGGAAAGTGATCAGAGAGCTTGTTCGCGGAAAGGTGCAGAGTTCCACGCGTAAATGGATATGCTGGCTCACCCGACACTGCAACTGATAAGCGTATGTCATTCGTCGCACGCAGAAACTGGACGCCTTTAGTCCGATCAAGATAGTTCATGTTTGGGAGAGATAGCAGACGCCAGAGAAACAAAAGCGTGTTTGATTTGAGAGGCGCCGATAGCGTCCGCAGTAGCGGCCTCTCTGCGTACGACAAATAGACTATATGTGTGCTTAGATTGCAAGGGGCAACCTTGCTCGCGGAGGCAAGTTTGGAAATCATCATTGCAGGACAACTGCACCGTTTACGAATCGGGAACCATCCTTTACCTCCCTGTTGCGAATACATACGAACTTGATCGAACGCTAACTCTTCCATCATGCTCGAGGGAAGTCTTGCTTCGACCTACTGTAGAATTCAAACCCATCGAGGTGCCGCTAAAAGAGGGCGTAACGTGTAGCGGATTCCCATCTAAGTTGACAACCATTCACACGTACTTGCCGAACAAAATGAAGGTCCCGCTCTACAGCATTTCCGACTTGATGGGGAACTTCACTGAAGTGCAAAGGTACAGTTTGGAAACAGTCGAATTATTAGCTACGCTGCTGAGGTAAAGTAAATAGATGAACTTTGTTTAGGTTATACTTTGCAAGTGAGCCACAATCACAGTGTGTCTCTGTTCCCGTCTTTACTGGAGCCAGTGAGTGCTTATATGCTTATATGCGAAAAGTAAATTTCTGAATCACTATTGCGCTATCGTTCATGAGTTCCCATGACATTAGAAATTGACTGAAGCTGTACACCAGAGGTAATTTAGGCCATAGCAGACTATACTTCGGAGATGTCTACAACACCACCGGTTATTCCTGGATGCGTATGCCTTCACTGGAAAGTGCGCATGTGAGACTGGCGCTTGCTGCGGAAATATGGCGATCGACGAATACTTGTATCCTTACGTGCCCATGTTTGTGTATGGTTATACCTACATTGGTCCCCACAAGGAATCTGAAGTCGGGGGTACACTAACGAGCAAGCAGCAATTCTACATTGTTGACGTTGAATGGCTTCAGTGAGTGCTACTCACCATCAGCTGACGGTACTTTTCCAAATAAAAGTCTAGGCCAGAGCTACAGATTATTAGTTGTTCAAGCATTGCCTTTTAGCTGTAAACTGATAGTAATGTGCTTACTGCATAGTTATCAAATCGGCTTTGTCAGCTTGTTCTAATTGATTTTAGCCCAATAAAGTTAGAGTAGAACTATGGTGAAACAATGCAGAGAAGCATGCAGATGCTTTAAGATAACTAAACATGTGGAAATCTCGCTGTCAGATAGTTGATGAACAAAAAACAACTATTTTTTTCACTTGTGTTTAAATGCAAGACTATTTCCGAGTAAGATGCAGTCACGAAAAATCACCGATTATTCTTCGTTACTGTAGGGAATCGATCAGCCTCAAAAACGTGGAAATGCTAAAATCCTACCACAAGTCAAATGAGAAGCTGATTCTGAATATGAGGAATGTAATTTGCAATGACTTTTGCTTATATGATAACCCAGGTATACAGTATCGGTTGTTTCTCAGTATTTCCGCGCTACAAAACTGTACAAGGTCTATCCATTTGAAGAGCCTGTTTAAAGGCCTCATAAACATTCATTTGAATTTTCTAAAAATTTTGTGATGGCAGCTTCCCAGACGTCCCTTTCTGACAAGAAAGACCACCAAGCAGACATCCTACACTGCCGACGAAATGTGGATATATTGAGTGCTAGTCATTACAGCAACTTGCTGCTTTTGTACAATTCAGTGATAGTTCCTGGGATGTGGGAGGTGTAAGCTATGTTAGTAGAAGTACGTTGTGAACGCCTTCACCAACAGTAGCCTTATCATCGACCGATCGATGATTCCTGATACCCGTGCCATATGACGTCATAGTCAAGTGGGCGGGCCATGTCTGCCTTGCGTCCACCTGGGAGGTCTCACCTCACTCTTGATCACACGTTGACCACCCAAGGTCACAATCTCACGCTCTCGGTTACAGTAATCCTAATAAACCACTGAACCACCATTCTCGTTGTCTATTTCACCGTAATACATTGCATACCGAGGCAAAACCCCTCGAACAGTCTACACCCGCTAATAGCTTGGTGCATCGGCCAAAGTAGCCAATTCTTCCCGCAACAGAGTGTCACAACTCTGTCTGCCTGGAAAAGAGACTAGCTCCTCGAGCAACTTCACACTCCCGTGCCCAGCACCTGGAGTTACTCCTGTACTAACCGTACCTGGAGACCTTTGCACATTACTGCAAACTTACTCCCGTGCCCCGCACCTGGGAAACTCCTGTACCTACGTACTCGGAGCAGATCACTGTAGATCAAACAACAGCTGATCAGATCTTTGCGCATTTTTGACGCAGATCACCGATTCAAACGCTACAAGCTAAGCAATCGAAATGTCTCTTTTTTGCTACAAAGAGCCAATTTTGATGAGCACAAACTCGCTCAAAAATTTGGTAGTTGCGTACAATGAGTATACGCCTCAAAAAACTTATTCTACCATAAATGAAGAAACCTACAGAGTGTGAGAAAAGAATTGCCCTTTTACAAAGTAGCATCAAACTACTGCAACAGGGAAAAGAAGACTTGCAAAAATTGTACGATGCAATCATGGAAGAGTACAAAAATTGCAAAAGTAGATCCGATAAAAAAGAGTTGCAAACCGAAATCGAACAGATAGTTGGAGAAACACAACTACACGTGACTATGGCAAAAGCAAACGATCTGATCTTCATATTACGTGGCCGACTAGACGAAAATATATGCGACAGAAGCATAATACAGGCTAAAATTGGGCAAATCAACCAAAAATTACAAGTCGTGACCACCGTCACAGATGAGATAGAAACCCTGAGCATAGAAAATCAAGAGTCTGAGCAAAATGGGATACAAAACGATGCTGGAACGAGTACTCCACGTACGGCACATCCTAACTCATACAGTTCTGAACAAAACTACACAGAACAAAGCCACTGGCGATCAATTAAGCCGCCGCAAGCAACCTTGCCGGAGTTCAACGGTGACCCAGAAGAATTTGCGGAATACTGGTCTGTCTTTGAAACGCTGGTTCACAAATCTAAAGAAGTGGGCATTCCGGAAAAGATAATGCTGCTCAAGCAAAGTCTTCGCGGTCGAGCGCAACTTGCCATAAAGGGCATAAAACTTATTCCAGAGAACTACAACTGGATCATTAAAACTTTGCAAGAAAAATACTGCGATCAACCAACTAATAGATCACAAATAGTGCAAAAATTGCTTAATTTGAGTCCTGCAAACAATGCTGCGGACAGCTGCTCCGCAGTTTTCGACGAAATTCAAGTTTTGGTCAATCAAATGACGTCTACTGGGTATGATGTATCGATTACTGACGACCCAATGTGGTATCTCAGACATTCGCGGTTGTCACCCGCAGGTGGACCGCCCAGAAAATGGCTGATCGCACCAAAACCCGGTGCACCGGCGGGAGACATGAATTTAGTTTTGACCGGATTTTACTGCGATTTTGCCCCAATGCACTCCGCATGCGTGTATGATAATGATGTTGAAATAAAATAGTCGAAATAGTCGTCTTCTCTTGGTGATTGCTTTTTGTTGATTGATGCCTTTTTCTTCAATGTTTTTGCTTTCATTCTTTCTTATACATCTTATATATAAAGGTGAATGTCTGTTTGTCTGTATGTCTGTCTGTCTGTATGTGTGTACGTATGTTCCGAATAGAAAATTCCATTTCTGAACCGATCCGGACCAAACTTGGCACACAAACACTTCGGGCCCCGGCGGGTGTCATAGGCTACTTTTCGTCATCGATCGATATCGATTTTATCGATTTTTTTGCAGAGTTCACCTACTGGGCTGGGAGTTGGCACAGAGGGGGTATCGAGCATGGGGATCCCGAATACAATATTAGTTTTCAGGATCATCGATTACTTTTATCGATTTTATCGATTTTCTTTTGCAAAGTTTGAGCTACGAGGCTGGGAGTTTGCACAGGGGGGTAATCGAGCATGGGGATTCCGAATACAATATTAGTTTTCGGGATTATCGATTACTTTTATCGATTTTATCGATTTTTTTGCAAAGTTTAAGCTACGGGGCTGGGAGTTTGCACAGGGGGGTAATCAAGCATGCTGATTACGAGTTCGATATTAGTTTGGCGCTATTCGGCTAACCGGGCCCCAAAATTTTTTTGTCGTAAAGCTTGCTCAGATTCGTGTATAAGGGTTATCTTACATGCTGATTACAGATATCACACTTTCGTCGCAGAAATTTTCCCATGTGGTTACGATAGGTGTACGGTAGGAAGTCACAATCATGAATTCGGCTGGAGTTCGGTCCATATGGCTTATTCGACATGCTAATTACGAATATCATCTCTTTGCATATTAAAACCTTTTCACAGAGTTGTGGTGGTTATATGGCATGGGGTCGAAAACATAGGTTTGCTTTAAACTTCGTCTAGGGTGGTCATTTAGCGCGCTGAACATGAATATCATGCTGATTTCGCAGGACAATGCACTTTCTTGGGTTACGGTGGGTGTAGATGGTCGAAGTTCCACATTTATTCAAAACCTTACCTGTAACGGTTCACAAGTATACTGCTTATCAATATGAAACTTGCTCGCTGTCGTAACGCATTAGCGAAGTTATGGTGAGTTGCAGGATTTGAATGGACAGGGCCAATTTAGATCCCAGATATTCATGAAATGGGGAAACCGTAGTTTTGCATGGCGGTCTCCAGCGCCATCCTGATAACCTGTACCAACGTGTAACGCACGCGGCGAATCTCCCTCCCCCTGATTTGCTTGGGCAAAAGCCGCCGAAGGGTGTATCGCACGCGACAAATCTCCCTGCCCCTATTCCTGCTTGGGCAAAAGCCGCCGAAGATTGTATTGCACGCGGCAAATCTCCCTCCCCCTATTTCTGCTTAGGCAAAAGCCGCCGAAGGATGTTTCGCGCGCGGCAGTGGTCCTATAAGGAAAGCATTACGGTCGTGGGAAACTTTTATACCACACGAATTGCCTTTATCGCGGGGATTGAGCACGATATTCTTTGAACAGCACTTTAGGTAATTCCCTGCCAAGGTTTATGATTTTTACCCGCTGCCACGCGATGACTATGACATTGTCATCAGCGGCTCAAATAACCCCCATATACCAAGTTTGAGCAAGATCCGTTACAAAAACATTTTGGGGCCCGGATAGCCGAATAACGCCACCAGATTTTAGAATTATCCTTACTTTTATCGATTTTATTGTTTTTTTTTTTGTGCAAAGTTTGAGCTACGGGGCTGGGGGTTGGTGAGGAAGGTAGGTGAGCATACTGATTACTCACGCAGCGGGAATAGGGAATGTAGAAGTGGGCACAAATAAAGGTGTACAGGGATAGAAATGGAACCTTTATCGTTTTTGACAGGGCCAGGCGGAGCCGGGTAAGCCAGCTAGTCGCTTATAATCGCTCCTTTGGATCATTTGTGTTCTTTCATAACATAAACTTGTCATTATACCAGACCTACTCTATCTTAATCATACTTAATGGTGCCTTTTGATTCAGTTTCGCTTATTATTTTTCCTCAATTTTACCAGCACATCAATAAAAGTGAGGTCACCGTTTCCGTAGGAGATTTGACGGTTTTTCAGTTCAGATGAGGTCGCGCGTCCAAATGGTAACTTCACTTGCAATCTCTGCGCTGGCGTTGTAGATCGAAGGTAAGCATTTTCTTCTCAATTCAGTAGGTTACTTCAGGACTCCTTCCAACTCAGCAAATTTGCGGAGTGCAATTTTGTGAGCTTAGACTCAAATTGTTAACCACAAGCCTGATTTGACTAAGTTTCAAGCCAGCTACAAGCTTAAACAAACTTGAAATATCGTAATATTGTGTCGCGTTCAACAAACCGTTGAGGCGTCGCTAGCTAGCTAAAATCTGTCAAAACATGTAACTTATACTATCCATTACTTATTGTGGGTAGCTTCAAGCTGACACGTGCAGAACAAAAATTTGCGAAAACGTCATTTTACGAGAAAATCCTTATGACACAATAC